TTTGGCTTTGTGTTACCTTAATTCAAGCCATGTTTTTTTTTGAGCAAATAAGTGTGCAAGAAACAAAAGAAGAATATCAAAATTGTGCATAAATAACCCTGAGTGACATTTACATAATATCAAATTATAAATACTATATATACACAAGAGAAACACTTGCAGATACCTTGGTCTGTGAAATGGCTAAATGAAAATGGTTTGCTCACTTCAAATGTCTCTTCTGTCTAATCCAATAAGTGACGCACCAATTCTAGGTACTTCTTTCTGTGTTAAATGTTTTCCCTTTTCAAGAGATTCACCATTAGAAAAAAGAAATGTACGCATAATTACTTCTCTATTTGACTTTAAGACTATAGGCGTGCTGTCAAATCGTGGGGAGTTGGAAAAGCTTTTGTCTTTCTTGTAATCCTGAGACATTTTCAGACACAAGGAAGGGGCCTCCATTTTAGGAGCCAAAATGGATCCATTAAAGTTGAACTTGACAACAGCATAAATATTTGAGCAGGGAGGACTTTGGAAGAGAAGACAAAAGGATCTGAGAGGACGTGTGGGCAAGCAGAGAGGTTATGAAGCCCTCAGTTCAACAAAACGCCCACAAACAAAAGAAGAGTTTGAAATCAAGGTCAAGCGTTCGGATGTGATTATAAACTTTGAAAAGAGAGGTTGGTTTTATTTATTGTTGAAACAGCATGAATTGGACATGTGCACATTATGTACCAGAAACATATAAGACAAATTGTGGCCAGACTTGCATGTAAAAGCTAGATCCTGTCAGACTTTGGAAGCTAAGCAGACATGGTTTGCATTGTGATGGGAGACACCTGGGAAGATAAGAAAAGATACATTTGATTGATCTCACACTGTAGAAATTTCACATTGGGCATAGAATCACTCAGATTGTGCAAAAGTCAGAAGTGTGCAAACATGTTAAAGGTTAAAAATATAGTCTCTGTAGGATGTAACACCAGGTGCCACAGTGCGACGGCTGTAAAGTGTCCTTAGCAAGACACTTCACTCACAGTGCCTAGAATGAGACTGGTGTGTGAGTGGCTGATGGCACACACTGGTTGCCTCGCTTCTCTCAGTGTGCCCCAGGGCAGCTGTGGCTATAGTAGTAGTTTATCACCACCGTGTATGGCTTGAATGAATAATGAAATGAGAAGCGTCTTTGAGTTTCCTGAAAAGCGCTAAATAAAACCCTATGATGTGTTGAAGAAGTACATGGAGGCGAGAGAGTGATGCCCTCAGCACAGAGCAGGGGATGGAAGAGAGGGGTAGGGTCAGAGAGTGTTTGGGCCGGTGTGTTTGGCTGTTTTGTGTGTCTCTACCCCATGTTGGGTATGGTAAACTACGTTATGTGCTGCACAGTATCAAATTTGTATTGATCTTGTAAGTTGATTAATTGCATTGTATTCTGTGTATTATTGTGTTGATGGTGAGTGGGGGGTTGGAAACAAATACGCTTCTGCTTCATCCAACCCCTTTTCAAACATGTATTCGTGTAAAGATATGTCACATTGTGTTTTGCAGGTTGGAAATATTATAAATCTATCTATCTACAATGCATTTTATTCAGCTAAGTTGGAATGTGAGGGACTGGTGTACTGGGTGCAGCTCTGACTGCCATCCCCCCCGACCCAGAAATGGATTAAGGGGAAGAAAATGGATGGATGGATGGATGGAAGTTGTAATGTCATAGAAAAGGTTGAAGGAGCTCTCAGAAAGTTTGTGGAAATACATGGATATTGCTTGTACTTGTACCCCTCAAGCAGATAAAGGACGCGGTACAACAACTGATCGACTATGGATTCAATATTGATCACACTTCTTTAGAAAAAACTGTAACTTTTTAACTTTCTCAGAGACAGGAGGCCTCAGTGTGCGCAACAATGGCCAGAACAGAACAAAGTGCATGTATCTTTCCCCCGCTCCCCCCCAGCAGAGTGCCGGTGCTCGCTGAAAACCCTCCCGTCCGCGGCACATTTCACTCCAGGTGCTGCGGTGAAATGTGGATCTTCTTGTCTGGTCTGCACAGCCCTTTTGTAAGACCTCGTGATGTCTCTTTGTACACATGGATTGAGGAGGATATGAAAATTAAAGTAAAATAAAACAAGCAATTAAAGGTCATATTAGTAAATTAACTTCAATCAATGTATATTTCTGACTATGGGACACTGTGCTATTATGTGAGTGAGTATTTTCCAACAATAATGTATTTTAAAGAGTCCCTCCCCTTGGCCCCACCCCTTGGCCCCACCCCTTGGCCCCACCCCTTGGCATAACTATGACCAGTTAAGATTTGTTGGAGGAGAATAGTTAAACCAATGACATGGAAGGATTTGATTTCATTTTCGTTGATTCAGGATGAGTGGGTCTAACCAGTGCCTTTCTTCAAAAATGTTCACTCTCTCTTCACAATAATAAAAGTAATTGCAATTCACTTGAATACACAGTACTTGGCCTAGTTGAGTAAGGCTATTTTTTAGTTGCCTCTGCTTGAGGTAACTTGAGGGCGGCACGGTGGCTGAGTGGATAGCACTCTCGCCTCTCAGCAAGAAGGTCCTGGGTTCGAATCCCGGTCGGACCAGGGCCTTTCTGAGTGGAGTTTGCATGTTCTCCCCGTGTCTGCGTAGGTTTCCTCCGGGTACTCCGGTTTCCCCTACCACTAAAAATATGTCCAATAGTTCTGGCATGCGCTTCCTGTACTGGCGACCCCGCTCCCATCTCTGTGTGGAGTGAGAGACAAATGCCCAAAATTAACAATTGTAAACCGCTTTGAGACTCAGATCTGCAGTGAAAAGGCGGTATATAAATGAAAACTTACTTACTTACTTACTTACTTACTTGAGGGTTATGTTTTCACCAGGGGTTGTTTGTCTGTCAGGAACAAACCCATCCATACTTGGGCAGATTTGTAACATTTTCAGGAAACCTCAGAAATGGGAACACAGATTTTATATTTTTAGTTCCAAGAATTGTTTTAAGGAGGTCTGTATCCTATGCATTCTTTTCTAGTTTTTTTTTAATCTAACATTTATCCAGTAAAACAGCCTTTACCTGATACAGTGTTTTGTAAAAGCAGCAATTTAAGGAAGATTATAACTTTTCATTCTCTGTTATTGTTGTTCTATCTCTTTCAATCCTGTTTTCGCCTTAAGTGCATTTCCATTGTTTTTAGTGAGATAGTAATGTAATCACCAAGGTTTGTCTGTCTGTCTGTTTACATAGTTTACAAGATAACTCTAAAAAGGACTGGCAGTTTTGTCTTTTTTTTTCCCCAGTATTGCTCAAAAATGGGACAAGGAACAACTGTTTTGGAGGTGGTCCAGCGTACCGCCCTCTGGTGGTGGAGGTCTGCGCTCTATGAATTATGTTCTAGTTAAAAACAAGAAAAACCCTCATAGAGCTTTTGTACAAATCTGCTCATAACTTCACCACAAACACAAACAAACCCAGATGAGTCACTAAAACACGTGTCACTCATGTTTCAGGTCCAACACAAGACATTAAAGTAAACAATACGACCTATTACCAAGACTCTCTCTACAGGATGACATTGTGCCAGTTTTGCAGCTTAAAACAACATTATTGTTTGATTTGTTGGTTCCCGTTGTCAGATAGGTTGAACTAATCCTGCGCACTTTGGTTTGTGTTGCCGCTGCATATTTCCATCTCTGTAAATGCTGACCTTTCTCCAAAGCTTTTAAAAGGGCAGCTATCAATAATGTTATATTTCCATTCTCAGCTAAATTTATGGCTAATGCTGTCAATACGTCTGATAGCATGTCTTTGTCAGTGACACAATCAATGCACAGATTTATACTGGGGTATTTATGCTATTAATGCAGAATCTAGTGCAGGCCCGGCCACTGGAACACACGTTTATTACACTCACTCTGATTAGAATGCAGGCGTGGTAGATGTAGACTTTGACGTTCTCCAAAAGTGGTTTTTGTGAAGCTGAGAGCCAGTTAGACCCGCCCCCACGGGTTCCTGATTGGATGAGTTTGGTCTAACACTCATTGGTCTCCAGCCTGTAGCCCGGGTAGCCACCAGTAGCTCGCCACCCCCCCCCCCCCCCCCCCCCCCCCCCCTTCCAGGTAGCTAAGGATTTAGAAAGGAACAAGTCAAATATAAAATACAGATTATATTATTTGTAATGTTATGATAAATGATGACTGTACCCAATATTAGGCTTTTTCACACCAATATATCACCAATTTTTTCTCTCGGTCGCTTGAAGTAGTAGCTCTCTGACTATCGACACAGGAGAACAAGACAGGAAGTCAAACTAAAACCAAACCAACACAAATAAAAAAACACACCATGAGAGTTTAGTCCAAACCCTTTTCATTTTGTTTTGAGATGTATTTGTTTGTATAATAACTACTAATACTAATACTACCACTTTGCTCATGCCTATAAGACAAAAATATGTTTCTTTTCTTAATATACTCATTGATAAATAGGTTCATCTCGTGTATGATGCACTTTCACTCAAAATGATTACTATGATTATAAAAATAAATGGATGAATTTGTGCAACGGAACATGTTTTTAATATATAAACATATAAATATAGAGAATTATTTGCTGATTTCCGCTCACACTGGCAGTATTCATTGTCTGGTGCACTACTTAAACATGTGAGACTTCAGTGGGTCTCTGTGAAGCCTCCTGACAGCAGAATAACTGTGGGATGGAGGGGTACCAGCGGTTGCCGTGACGACCACAGCCCTCCTGTCAACACCTCCGTCTTAATAGTGACAAATTGTACTTATTACATCAGCGTTAATTCCCTGGATCTCCTGCAGATGAAGAGACTGAGGCCGGAGCTGATCACATTCTGTTCATGTAATTACTGAGAACAGAAGCCTATTAAAGAGCAGGGCCACGAACGCTCTGTCCACGCCCAGCAGGGGCCCAGCCGGGGCCCATCAGTCAGGGGCCCAGCAGTCTGGGGCCCATCAGTCAGGGGCCCATCAGTCAGGGCCACACACTTACTGCTGTTTCTCCTCCTCCTCCTGCTGCTCTTCCTCCTCCTCCTGCTGTTCCTCCTCCTCCTCCTGCTGCTCTTCCTCCTCCTGCTGCTGTTCCTCCTTCTCCTGCTGCTCTTCCTCCTCCTGCTGCTCTTCCTCCTCCTCCTGCTGCTCTTCCTCCTCCTGCTGCTGCTGGAGGAGGAGGAGAGAGACAGATGTGTTTTCACAATCCCACTCTTTTCATTGCTCCTGTCTAAGAACGATGACTTTGAGAATCGATCAGTTGCTGATTATTCTTTAAATTCATTGCTTCTTTTCGATCCTCAAGATCAGTGCAGGAGGTTCTGGCATCAAGTGAGGTGTAGTTTCATAAAAAAATACTTAGTAAACACATTTTTCATTCCGCAGTCATTTTAGAATTATCATAAAACCTCTTCTCAGCATTTTTACGACTATGGAATTTTCAAAAAACTATTCTTTGATTTACAAGAATAATAGATATATAATGTGCATTTATAGATAATCATTATTCCTCCATTTTGCTTCAATTTGAACTTTGTGGTGGATGCATTTCTACTTTCTTCAGTTATGATCTACAATATTTTTGGGGACATTAACTGTATTAAACATCAGCTGCTGTTGCATAAACATTTATATGTATAAAACATGTTTGTAACTTCAATAGAAAACAGTTTGTCTGAAAGTGGTGTAAATGATTCTCTGATTTGGTACTAACTGCTATTTGTGTTGCTACAGTATTTTCATTTATGTCTTTATTTTCCTTTTGTAGACTTTGTCTTCCATTCCAAGTCACTGGTTACATATAGTTTGTATAGTATGTTTTTTTTTGGTGCATTTAAACTAAAGATATTATGATTTTACCTTCACACTGTAAACATCACACTGTGCAGTGCCTCCTCGTGGTCAGTTTGCCAGTATGCGTGTGTGTACATGTGTGTGTGTGCGTGTGTGTGTGCGTGTGTGTTGAACAATGCTGGAATGGAATTAGTGTCGTCTGATGGAAATGTGCTAATTGCTGTTGTTAAGCTGCTGCAATAATTAGGTTATGATGGCAGACACACACACACACACACACATGTACACGTGCACACACACCCTCACATATACACAAGCACACATGTACACGCACACAAAAGCACACACACAAGCTCACACATGCACACACACACAAAAGCACACACATGTACACGTACACACAAGCACATACACAAACACATGTACACACAAACAAAAGCACATATATGTACACACACACACATGTGCACACAGATGGAGAGAGCAGAGTCTGTCCTCAGTGCAGAGCTGACATGGCCTCATTAAAAGTCCATTTTCTCAGATTATCAGAATAGAACTAGGAAGAATGTGCAAATGTTGAATCAGTTTAGACAAAGTTTAAGTTTTAGAAGTTTTCCTCCTAAAAAAATACATTGTGAACGAACTGCTTTAAAACCTGCTCAAAGGAAATGACTCAAAACACACTCTTTTCAGAAACACTTTGATTGGCACCAACACTTATGGTACGTCACCATCAACACCATGTCCTCAGAAGTCTCCAGGAAGCAGAATTAGTGTGTGTGTTTGTGTGTCTGTGTCTCTATCTGTGTGTGTGTGTGTGTGTTTGTGTCTTTGCGTGTGTGTCTGTGAGTGTGTGTGTCTGTGTGTATGTGTCTCTGTGTGTGTGTGTGTGTGTCTGTCTGTCTGTCTGTCTGTCTGTGTGTGTGTGTACTGTATGTGTCTCTCTGTGTGTGTGTGTGTCTCTGTCTGTCTTTGTGTGAGTGTGTCTGTGTGTGTCTCTGTGTGTAGTGTGTCTCTGTCTGTCTGTCTGTCTGTCTGTCTGTGTGTGTGTGTGTCTGTGAGTGTGTCTGTGTGCGTATGTGTGTGTGTCTCTCTCTGTCTGTCTTTGTGTGAGTGTGTGTATGAGCATGTCTGTGTGTGTGTGTGTGTGTGTGTGTGTGTGTCTGTGTGTAGTGTGTGTGGTGCACAGTGGGTGAGTGTGGAACAATAGTGTCTTGATTTCTGAAGAATAACTGGCTCAAATGTGCATGAATCACACACAAATAAAGTTGCAGTGAGAAAATTAGAAGTGAAAAGGATTCTCAAAAGTTAGACCTTGTACCTGGAGTTAGAGCCTCGTCATTGCCATGGAGACTCCAAGCAGCGGCCAGAACATGTCTGGAACACACAATGTACCAAACCTTTTGTGTTTGTATCATCTGAAACAGGAGAATGCCTTTTTTAGCTAGTGACAGATCTGCAAATATCATTTTCAAAACACAGAGGAGGAGCTTGGACTTGAACTTACTATAGACACATTTTACACTTAAAGTAGCAATATGTAAGATTTTCATGTCCAGTCATCATTAAAGGGCCCTAATCTGTCAAAGGCATTAATAAAACATGGTCTTTTCCAATACTTCGTTAACTGATAACAGTAGTTTAGAGATTTACAGTGTGAGATAGTGCAGCAAGAGTGGTCAAAGTGGCAGAAGAACAAAACAAAGGCTCCAAAACTTGTAACAAAGGTGCATTTATTTACAGTGCTCCCAAAATGTACATGATCTCTCTCCAAAACCAACATGGAGAGTGCCTCTCTTTTCCCCCATAACATCCAACACTCCTGGCATATATACATGGCCTAAATTGACTGGCTCCTCCCACTCGGCTGGAATATGCTTTTATATACACTAATATGCATCTGTAAACATAAAGGAGCAATTACTGCACAGACAGTAGCATGGCTTAAACACAGTATTACACCAATGACACAAATCAACATTTAAACCCCTAAACCAGGTTAATTATCAAACCCCTCCTTTAAATGGGTGGAGCTAGACAGAGGTCTCACTCCAAAGGGGTTAAAACCAGGAAATGCTCTGCGGCCCTCTCCTTTAATCTGATGCCGCATGGAGCAGGTATGTGAGAAGCAGAGTCCCCTCTAAACATTAACATAAACCTTACTATAGTGTTTGGTGTTTTTAACAAAGTTAACTGCTGTAAAATGGAATGTATGTATGTGAATGAGTGAGTATGTGGAACTGACAAACTTACACAAACAAGGCCCGGGATATGAGAGTGTATTTGACAGAACCTGTGTGTGTGGAGTTGTAAGACTCACTTCGTCTCACAGATTTAAAATTTATTTTTACAGCCCCTAAATCTTGTTATTGTTTTCATTTCAATGTGGAGGGCGGCTCCACCGTTTCACCAATCAGAAAGTCTGTGATCTGGGCGCCAGAACTCCCCGCGTCAGGCTAATCTCACTGGTAAAGTATTATGTGGCCGAAGAACTAAAAAGGTCTTGTTATGATTCTCAAATCATTAACGACCAAACAAGGAATAAAACCAGGATTTGATTATAGATTTGTTGTTGTCAAAACGATTGTCTGTTCAGTTATTATGGTCCCAGCTGGATTCGTCTGCATATCTGGCAACCTGAGTCGGGGACAGTGGGAGAAGTTGCAGCACCAGTTTTTGCCAGATTTTTGACATTCCGCTCCTTTAAAGCTAGGGCACCTAACTTTGTTCTCTAATAATGTCAATGTTGTCTGTCCTAGCCTCATAAATGTAAACCCATATTATTGCATAAGAACAAGCCCTTTGAGCCACTATTTGACTCTTATGGCTGAGTGCTGATTGGCTGGTCCTCTTTTTCACTTTTATGTCTGAAAAAGAGAGAGAGGCCCAAAACATTTAGATTGATTGTATTTGCCATTTGCAGTAAAACCACATTGGAATACATCCGCAAAAGTCCCCAGTGTGCACAAGACAAGTACAGAAATAAAACAAGGTTAAAAATACAGCGATAAAACAGTGTTGAAAATACAGAATCAAAACAAACAAAACAAGAAATATTTGTCACTGTGAAATCGATTGATTTCAGTGACAAAGTGCCTTGTTTAAACTGCTAGCATAGTTTTGAGAGAGCGGACCTTTATCTTTTCATGTATTTTTAATTGAGTCGTTTATATTTCTATAATTATAAAAGGTTGAAAACTGGCAGCTGTGATTGTGTCCAGGGCTAATGCTGCTGCAGACCTCACGCAGTGGAAGTGGCTCCATGACTTATTAAGCAGACATCTTCTACTCGTTCAGTTGTTTATGAAATATGCATCGCTCATCTCATGGCAGTTGGACATTTTTTGCATGGATTACAGTGCATGCATTATTGAGCATGAATGAAAAGACATTTTTAATTTAAAAGCATGAAGGTATAACACCAGCAGTCACTGCATTCCACTCTGTTCAGCCAGACCTCACCATACAGCACTACACTGTGTATCCTCCGCCTCTTCTGGAACTACTTTACTATTGAGGCAGGATTTCACAAAACAAAAATTAAGTGTTTTTCTTTTGGCCTCTCATGAGCTCATTTACAGTTGTATTTTGATGATTGTTTTCTGCTTATTAATGCATTTAAACATATTTCAATTCAACTCAATGAATTTTTTTTATAACCCTAAATCCAAACAGCAGTCGTCTCCGATGACTTTACAAGAGATTCAAACAGTTTGAACATGAAGGAGCCATTGATCCATAACTAGCAGGATGACCACTGTTCACAAGTTAAAATACTTTGTTATGGTCTTTTAAAAAAACAAAAAAACCTTGTTTGTGGTTGTTAACCACAAAATATGTAAACGTAATAGTATAGGGTTAGGGTTGCCCTGATGAAGACCGCTTGGTCAAAACGCGTAGTCAATCTATTGTTAATAAATCTTTAATATTTTGTCACTTTAACAGAGTGCCTCAGACCTCTTCTTTGACCTTTTGATCTCTACACTACGATCAAGTCAAAAACATCCTGTATCTAGTTATAGTATATTTGCAAGAGTCTGTACAATCAGTATCATCAGATTCTCCAGCAATCTCCTTTTAGAAAATTAGAAATTACTATTTTATACGCTTTACTCTGGGAACATCCTACATTTGCAAACTCTTGACGACACCGGCCTACAACACCCGCCTCCCCCGCTCTCTGATTGGTCAGAGGGGATTCAACCGAGGAAACTGCAGCCACTGGACGCAGACGCAGACGTACATGTAGGAAATGATACACGTTTTTTTCCCCCTGTTCCTTACACATGGAGCAACACAGGCTGGTGGAACTTGCTCCTCGACGTAGTCCTTTTACCAAAGCGTGATCCTTGACTTAAAAAAGCAGAAGTACAGGCCGCAGTAAAACCACATTGCTTTCTAGGCCGTTACTTACATGTGGGTACTTTGCATAATGACGCCGTAACAAACCCTGCAACTTTTGTACAAATTTGGGCTTACCGCTGTTCTCTACTTTCTGAAATTGTCCTTGTAAAAATGTTTAAAAAATGTCATATGGCTCCACGTGGATAATAAACATGCTATAGTTCATCACACACGTTCCCATCTTCCCAATGGTGAAAAGCCAACACGAGTCCAAACAACACGACAACCTTCCCCACCCTATCATCATGCAAAAACAGGGGTCTGCAGTTTATACCACAATCAAATTCTAAATGTTGTTTTTTCAGAGCTGGCGTCACAAATAAAGTGGACATTTTGTTTTGCCGTCGTTAGCATGCAGCGCAGAGGGAGCTAGCAGCAGCAGCAGAGGAAGTGCACTGGGCCAACAGGAACACAGCGGGCTTTGAGGCTGCTGATGGGGAAGGGGAGGGGGGGGACACAGGACCCCTTCACTTGCCCCTCAAACACCTTCTTCACTGGGTCTAGAATGGGGCCTCTGTCCTCTGCTGGTCCTGGCTCTTCCATTCACGCAGCAGGTGCCTGGGCAGAAAGGGATTTTTATGGATGCCCTTTACAGGTGCTCCGGGCTAATTGAGTTGACCTGTTTTAGCATTAGCTTTGAGCTGTGACCTTAATGCGTTATTTAAAAGAGAATTTTTGCATACACGCCTTGGAAACCAGAACGCGTGGTATGTCACAGAGATCATATAAATAGAGATATTCAAATTGCGTATATTGGATTTATAAAACGTATGTCTTCTCATGTATGTATAAGCTGTAGGCTGTGACAAAAAGGAAAGTATGCAAATTCGACATTTTAGAGATTTTATCCAGATATGTTCCAGCCTTGTTTCCTCATGAAAAACAGACTTGGAATTGCTTAACCACACTCGTTCATAGCATTCATCTACACTAATGAAACCCTACCTCAAATTTGTCCAATCTGGAAGCTCAATGAATGCGGGAATTACATTTGACCAGAACAATAGAGAACATGTCCATAGAGACTTACACATTGGGTTATTGCATTAAAAATACTGTTTTTTGTTTCATTCTGCGACTCATAAAACCCTTTCTCAGCCTGTTTGAGGCAGTGTAAGCTTCTAAAAACCATTACATAATTTGTTGAAAACTAATCGATTTAATTTTTTTCCTGAAATTACAAATAAGCAAAGTTGGGTGAGTGCATTAATAATTACACGATTTTATTTTCACTCCATACATCATTGACTGTATCTTTAAGACCGGGGCTGAATGGATACAAGCGGTCGAAACGAGCTGGGCGGCCAGGACACGCTGGACTCTCTCAGCTGGCCTGGGAACACCTTGAGATCCCCCCGGACGAGCTGGAGGAAGTGTGTGTGGATAGGGAAGTCTGGGCGTCTCTGCTTAGACTGCTGCCCCCGCGACCCGGCAACGGATGAAGTGGAAGAAAATGGTTGGATGGATGGATGGATGGCTCGAAAACAGTTTGGTTCTTTCACATGCATGTATTTTCTGGCCTCTGTCCCCTCTTTAGATAGATTTTCAAACAGTAAAGTGAAAAAGAGAGGACCACCCTCACTCAACCAATCAGTTCTCAGCCCCAAAGAGTCAAATAGCAACTCACAAGGCTCTAAACATCTACAGCCATTTTAATTTTTATGAACAAGGCAAACTCAATTAATGCATCACATTCCTCTGCTCCAAATGCATGCTTTTTTTTCATTTTCACAGAGTCATGTTCTCGACGCGGAAACACATCTATAACACCATTATCAGCTTAGAAAAGTACATTTGGCGTCATATGCATCCACAAAGTTAAGTAAAGCTAATTGCACAGTGCGACATTTGCGAGGTTGCACGAGCGCTGTCCATGGTGCTGAATCTCACCCGCTTCATTTCATCCACTTTTCTCAGTTGTCGCTTTGTCAGAACCATACAGTCAGACACACATTTGATTTTGTGGTCTGCCTGGTGATACACACAATCATATTTATTTACTTTTTACGTGCCTTATGACAAATCTCTGCATATATAGTTATTGATATACACCCTCCCTCATGAATACGTAATCCACCTTGTGTCTTATGGTAATGTGATGTAAGATTATGCTTGGGAAGTGGTCATCCATATTGGCGGAGGCAGCGGGAGCAGCTCAGGGTTGGGTGGTGCACAGCGGGCCTCACTGAGCCTGGTATTAGATTGTGTCTGCGTAAGTGGCCGTGATTAGATAAACGTGTCTGGAGCAGGGGAGCGCTTTTCGCCTCATAGTCCACGCTCACACAAACAGACCACAGTTGCAGCCTATACCCTCTATGCAAATTTAAGACTGTAATATTTGGAATTGTTGGACGTATTATACTAACTTTGAGTTTATAACAATATTCCTATATCAGAAACATCGATTTGTGTTATGGAGGGCATGAGCCGAGAAATCTTCCGAAAACCTTATGCAACATGTTTACTGTATTTCAGTTCAATCTTGACACATTTACCTTTTGAACAAGAAAAAGATTGAATATGAGAAAAATTGTATATATTCATCTTAGCTGCCTCCCATCTGTATTTATCACTGAATGTGTTGTCCTCCATCTGTGAATATAGTATAAGTATATATTAATACGTTCTTGAACAAAAACACCAGCAATCATAGGCTTGTGCATTCTAACTTTTCAACCCCTGACAACTGAAGTGACTGAATCAGGAGTAAATAATGTATATATGCATACAAATGTCAATACCATCTGGTCATTTAGGTTCAGAGTCGTACAATGCAATAACATTAACAACATGTTTAACAGCAAATAACAATTAAACAAATGCATAAGGTCTAAATAATGATTTATTACCCTAAATACAGTAAGTCATTAAATCCTCGTTTCCACCAGTCCTACTTGGCTCTACTCTACTCTACTCTACTCTACTCTACTCTACTCTACTCTACTCTACTCTACTCTACTCTACTCTACTCTACTCTACTCTACTCTACTCTACTCGACTCGACTCGACTCGACTCGACTCGACTCGACTCGACTCGACTCTAACCCAATTGGGAGCATTTCCACCAGGCCTGTCTAACCAGTTCCAGTCACTTTTTTAGTACCTGCTTAGCTCTGGTTCTATCCAGGCAGAGCTGGTACTAAAATATTTTAACTGACTGAGATTAGATACTACAGAGTAATGGAAATGCAACGAGGTAGAGTAGAGTAGAGTAGGGCTGGTGGAAACAGGGCTAAGGATTCTACTTCATCCCTCCAAACATTAAACTCAAAGCTAAATGATGTCACACAGTGTACATCAGCTCAAAAAAAAATCATATTCTTACCATAGAAAACCCTTATCGTTTCAATCAATCAATAATTTAATTGTATAGCACAGTTCGTGTACAAGGCCATTCACAGTGCTTTACAAGAGCAATTTAAAAACCCAGATCGAAATGCATTAAAAAGTCAATAAAATACACAATTAAAACAGAGCAGCATAAATTTATAGGGTTCAAAAAGGAAGATAAAAGCAAAATAGTAGAAATTGGAATCAGTTGTATGCACAGCTAATTTATTATGTTTTCAGGCTAGTTTTGAACATTGTACTGGTTTCAACTTCAAACACAAAATCCTCTTATTCTCATCATCACAGGCTCTACCTTGTAAACAAATGTGGTATGTGTTTGCAGCAGACAAAGCCGCCATTACAGTGCAGCGGAATCGCCCTGTCACAGCCCCAGCCGCTCTGACGGCTGAAGGCTGAGCAGGAGCTAGAGGTGCTTGAGGAGAAAATTGCGGCAGCTCACAGCACTGGAGTGAAATAGCATTTTGTCTCACTCAAGATGGATTCCACAGTGAGATTTTCAGACCAGCAAAACACAATCAAAATGGAGAAGCCAGAGCAGAGCAGAGCAGGGCTTTGGGGAGTGGACACTGCTGGACTGATGGCAGAATTATACCTTTATGTTTTTGAAAAGGTGCTGTATCCTGTCACAGTGTATAGATTGACGCTGGTATATTTACATCTGAGGGGTTGATATTGGTCTGTAAAGTGTAATTTATGGACATTTATCAACAATCATAGACATTGGTCAAACTCCCTACGGACCAATACATATGCGTTCTATATTCTGTGTGTTTAAACTGTTTGATTTTCTGATCTGTGTTGGCAATTTCAACGATTTTGTTAAGTGCTCTGAGATAACTACTGTTGTGATTTAGGGCTATACAAGAATACATTTAATTGAATTGAATTGTAGTGTGTTTAGTAATAGTAAATAGTTTAGTATTTGTATGCATTGTAGCAGTATTATGTATGTTATTATGTATGTATGTATGTATGGCTGGATGGCTTTAGTGTTTTTTTCAATTCCCAATACGTTTATTGTGAAAAAAACGGTTGGACCATATAAGAGTCCAACCGTCATTGCTGTCCTGATTTTCAATAGTGGGATAGGGGGCAGGTTAATCAGACTTTTCATTCTCAGTTCGAACACATTTCCAAGTGATATGCTGTTTAAAACCATTTCATTTCCAACTCCACTTCATCTTTGAGTGACCCGTCAGCCCGATACATCCCACACACACACACACACACACACACACACACACACACACACACACACACGCGCCCTTCTATTGGCCTGAGCATAAACCACAGCCCTGTTTGAGAGTCCGTGCGCCTGCAGCCTTCTCTCTCGCACTGATACACTCCGCCGGCTGGTCTACAGTCGAGCCCTGTGCACCAGTCATACCCTCGGAGCCTGCAGATCGTGTTGTTGTTGTTTTATCTAGGTCAGTGCTTACAACAGCTGTGTATTATTTTGTCTCCTGTCTTCTGCCTGGCTTCCTTTCGCATACCTAATCTTCCAAAATGCATATGCAACAGCGGCGCATCTCTGAGGGTTTGGAAAATCATGTGGGATTGTAACATTTGTAGATTATTGCGTCGGCTCAGGGCAGACTATGCCTTTAACGGTGCATTTCTACCTGGAGACAGCGGCCCGGCGGCGTGGTGTGGTTCACATAAGTGCCGCATGCAGCCCCTCACTGCAGCAGGAGGGGGAGAGGGCTGCCATTATGGTGTGTTTATAAGGCGTGATAGAACGTGACCTCCGAGCAGTGCTGTCAAGTCAAACAGAACGGGCAGGGACACACACACCTGCTAGCCTATACATTTATACATGTGTTTTGACCCCGACATCAGCAGAAATGATGAACGTAAACAGCAGAAGTACGAAGGTGGCTTCTCTGTCAGTGGGTTACGTGATAGATTGTTGTTCCCTGTATTTGTTCACTGTATTTGACTAAAACCGCTTTTCTGGGGCAGCATACAGTTCGTCAAAATTCTCTATATCAACGCAGAGATTGGGACTCATACCTTGGACAAAAATCAAAGCAATTTATTTTTGCAATGCTCAAAATCACTGTAGGGGACTAATCCACAAGTCCAGGGCAGGGAGTCTATGGTGGTATACTGGGGACTGGTCTACAAGTCCAAGGTGGTATACTGGGGACTGGTCTACAAGTCCAAGGTGGTATACTGGGGACTGGTCTACAGGTCCAGGGTGGCATACTGGAAGACTGGTCTATAAGTCCAAGGTGACAGACTGGAGACTGGTCTACAGGTCCAGCGTGGCATACTGCAGGACTGGTCTACAGGTCCAGCGTGGCATACTGCAGGACTGGTCTACAGGTCCAGCGTGGCATACTGCAGGACTGATCTACAGGTCCAGGGTGGCATACTGCAGGACTGGTCTACAGGTCCAGCGTGGCATACTGCAGTACTGGTCTACAGGTCCAGGGTGGCATACTGCAGGACTGTTCTACAGGTCCAGCGTGGCATACTGCAGGACTGGTCTACAGGTCCAGGGTGGCATACTGCAGGACTGGTCTACAGGTCCAGCGTGGCATACTGCAGGACTGATCTACAGGTCCAGCGTGGCATACTGCAGGACTGATCTACAGGTCCAGCGTGGCATACTGCAGGACTGGTCTACAGGTCCAGCGTGGCATACTGCAGGACTGGTCTACAGGTCCAGCGTGGCATACTGCAGGACTGATCTACAGGTCCAAGGTGGCATACTCAGAACTGGTCTACAGGTTCAGGGTGGCATACTGCAGGACTAGTTTACAGGTCCAGGTTGGGGAGTCCACAGAGACAGACTATTGCTAACAGTTAAACTGGACACAGAAACCAGGAAATATAGATGGATCAATGCATCTCTTTTCACCCCGAGGCACATGGATACGTGACGATCACAATGAAAACAAACAGTTATAAGTGTCTGGTGCACCAAAGCCAATATGAATGTATGTAAGTGGACACACCGCCTTTCAAGTTTCAATGATTTTAAATTCTTCTAGTCAGCCGCCAGCTTTCTATCCTTGCCTTTCTTTTCTTTGCCTCTATCCATCCCTCTCTTATCCGTTTCTACTATATCCTTGCCTCACTTTGCCTCCCCTTTCCTTCCAAACTTGTCTCTTCCCTGTGCCTGGTTCTCCATAGGCTCCTGCTCAGTGATGACGGCCCGCTGTAAATTGCCTGTAGAATGGGTTTTGACACACGTGCGCTCCCGTGGGACTGTGCACGTGGTGGGAAGGAGCGATGCATGTTGACAGTTCCACTCATCCCAGTTTGATCTGCAGAATTAACATAATATCACTGTATGCATGAAACACGTGTGACAGGGGGAGACGGTCTTTCCAAAGCGGTTTTGTGGTGAAGCAGCAGGTCTCATCACATCCTTTTACAGTTACTGTTTACGGAGGTCACTTTTGGACTTTTATCTCACTATGTCGGCATGGAAGGCAATATGCACACTCCTGTCTTTATATATTATTATAGCTAGTATCTAGGAAGTGTATTGCCCTAAATCACAACAGTAGTATTTACAAATCTGTCAAAGTTAGCCAACACAAATGTGGCTATTTGATTATTCATTAGTTTAATCCGTTGGTGATTTTGGCATTTGTGCCGTGTGTGATGTGGACTGTGAAGCTCTTTGTGTGCTCTACTAATAAAGATTAATTGATTGAACACAGATTAGAGAATCAATCCGTTCAAACACAATAAAAATGCAATGATAAAAAAACACATAGAGGGGGCTTCCGGGTAGCATCCAAGATGGCAGTTTAGCTTTTGGGCTCTCCGACGGTTTCGAATAAAATACCCCAAAAGTTTGGTACTTAGTACTAATTGATCAGTTTTGAAGAAATGCCTGGGGTTAAGTCAAGAAGGAGTAGAGCTGTGGGTACGACTCAACGTTTTGACGAAATGGTGGGGGATAACGAGGGGAACTCGCCCTCACACGAGGAGGAGGACGACGAAGATGATCCAGTTAGCCTAGCTAGCATTCTCCGGGAGCTCAAAGACTTTAGACACGAAAACAAGGAACAATTTTCTGAAATTCAAAGAAACCAACAACAGACGGACGTCAGAGTGACACAAGCCGAAGCACGAATTGATGAAGTGGAAACGGCGCTGGGAGCAACATCGACGCTCATAAAGCAACTGCTAGCGCAGCAAGACACCATGGAGTCTAAGCTCACTGACCAGGAGGCCCGCGCACGGAGAGATAACCTCCGCATATACGGCATCCCAGAGGAAGCGGAGGGCACTAATATTTTTGTCTTTCTGGAAAATATGCTTCGTGATTCTCTCGCTTTTCCGCCTGAAACTGATTTAAAGATAGAAAGGGCACATCGAGCCCTGGCCCCGAAACCTGCTGGAGGACAGACACGGCCACGCTCAATCATAGCCAAGTTTTCCAGCTTCAGGGTCAAGGAAGAAGTTATAAGGATTGCCTGGCAGAAGAAACAAGTGATGTACAAGGACACGCGATTCTACGTTGACCATGATTACCCTCCGCTGATTCTAAAGAAACGCACCGAATACAACCAGGCCAAAAGAGTCCTCAAAGAGCACAATATAAAGGTCCAAACTCCCTATCCCGCAAAAATGAGAGTGTTTTATAACGAGGAGACCCGCTTGTATCAGAGCGCGGCGGAGGCGACAGTGGACATGGCTGCAAGAGGACTCCCGGTGACCGTGATCCCGTCTACCGTCGATCCCTACCAGCGCGAGTTACAGCGGCTCTCATCGTGGCAGGCGACCCCCGGAGACCGAACCAGCACACCCCCTCCTTCAGGTACCGACTCTGACAAGCCGGCTAATTCAAAGACCGTTTATTGAAAAGCTGCGGGAATTCAGGCAAAATCCACCTACAGATAAGTGATCGGGAGAAATGTAGAAACTGTTGTGTACACGCCCCCCCTCTTTGACTCCTTTATTTTATTAGGTTATTAAACAGTCGGACTACACGCTCACTATGCTAACAGACACGGCACAACCATCTTACTGGGCCCTGCTCTTTGAAGTGAGCAGGCTTTCCCCTGTTGGGAGCTCTAAAATCTCGAGCTCCTTGAAGGTTCTATTCAGGACCTCTATCCAGGAGGCACACTCCCAGCAACAGACTATTATGGTTTCAGTAGTTACTGAGATGTCAATGTAATGTTGTTGTTCTTTTTTCATTAATTGTTCTATTGTTAAAGGGATGCACAGTATTAATGAGTATTGTATTGAGAGACCATTTTGGATACCACCATGGAAAATACTATAAGACTCGCATCGTACAATGTAAACGGTGTTCTTAACTCAATTAAACGGAGTAAAATATTATTCAAGCTAAAAAAAGATAACGTTCAAATTGCTATGCTACAGGAAACACATCTGAGTCCAACTGAACATGAACAATTGAAAAGAATGGGATTTTCCAAAGTATACTATTCATCCTATAAATCTGGCCATAGAAGGGGGGTAGCCACTTTAATATCTCACAATGTACCATTTGAGCTTTTTTCTGAGAATAAAGACAAAGAAGGACGCTTCTCTTTAATATCAGGCAAAATAGACGGAACAGTGTTACTAAATGCTTATGTCCCCCCAGGCAGCGATTTTTCCTTTTATAGGAAACTTATTTAGTTGATGACACAGGCAAATGGTGTGCTTATATCTGGCGGGGATTGGAACATAAGACTAAACCCAAGGCTTGACGCATCAAGGCTAATCCCCCAAAATTCCATACAGAAGAAAATGAAAATATTGATGTCGCACCATGGGATCATAGATATCTGGAGAGATTTCTACCCAACAAGTAAAGATTATACACATTACTCTCATTCCCATACAGTGTATTCTAGAATCGATTACTTCTTTATCTTTAAGAGAGACCGCAATAGAATACAGAAGGTGGAGATCGGAAATATAGACATTTCAGATCACGCACCAATAATAGGGGACTGCCCAAACATAAAACAATTTTGGAGGGATATTCACAAAGGTATAGAATCAGTATTCAACGAGAATATTCCCTTTGAATTCTCTAGCTTGACATTGGGGAATACACGATTAAAATACAACGACAAATACCTATTTCAAATGTTAATAACCGCTGCCAAAAAAGCTGTTACCCGACACTGGCTCCTCCCTGCTCCTCCAAGTCTAGAAAACTGGACAGATTCTGTAAACGGTATATTTCAGATGGAGAAACTTAAATTTTCAATCCACCTACAAATGCATTTTTTCTCGAAGATATGGTCAAAGTGGAGTTTATACATTAATAGAGTACAACAATTGGAAGTGTTGAACATGGATGATTTGTGACTGATATGGTGATTTTGTATATTTCTTTTGTCATTATTGCTCTCTGTATCCTGTTATAAAAATGCATCCTCTGCTTGTTTGTTTGTTAAAAAAAAAAAAAGAAAAAAAAAAGATGTTTGAGAATGGATGACACTGTGTCTGTAACAACTATTTTTTTGGTCTCAACATTTAAGATAACAAATAAAGATTTGAAAAAAAACAACAAAATAAACACATAGAGCCATTGATCCATACGGAACAGATGACAAAGTTTCAGGGTTAGGGTTGTTAGGGTTAGTTATTTTCTAGTGAAGGATGTTGCTTTGTCTGGCTTTTTGTCTGGAAGCTTTGAGATGTGGCTTTCACGCCTGTCACTAACCATTTTAATGTGTACGTATTTTCTAGTGTAATATTATGGAAAGTTGCTGGAGACAGTTTAATTGCGCCTTTTTGAGTTAAACTTATTCTCAAATTTATCTCCGGGTAACATTGTGCAACACTCTTAAGTCTTGTGTTATGTTTTTTTTTGCAGGTCAAAGATATCTGATCACATCCACTGGGGCCTTGTACATCGTGGACGTCCTGCCTGAAGATGGGTTGAACAACTACCGCTGCACCACGCGGCACCGCTACACCGGAGAGACGCGGCAAAGCAACAGTGCCCGCCTCATCGTCTCAGGTCTGCGGCTCTGCTACTCACCACACCTTTGTTTTCAATAAACAAACCTGTTCTGGGCTGGAGATTCAGTACAGCTCATGACTGGTCACTCTCTGTTTCTCTCTGGAGTCTGTTGGTGAGTGAGTCCAATGACAGAAGAGAAGAGGCTGGTTTACAAACTGGAACCAAAACTGCTTTTTGGTTGACACGCACATCCACATCTGAGTAGCGTAGTAGTAAAGTCGAAAATAGTAAAATGAAAAAGTGGAGATGAATCTGCACAGCTTTAGCTCCCAAGGGATTTTAATTTGCACCACAAGATGTGACGTGAGTATCAACAACAACTACTTATTCTTGTGTAGCCCTAAATCACAACAGTATCATCTCGGAGAACTTAACAGAACCATTGAAATGACCAACACAAATCAGAGAATCAACAGTTAAGACACAAAATATACACATATGAATTGGTCCACAGGGAGCGACCAATGTCCATGAATGTTGATAAATGTCCATACACGTAAAATGTTAAAGTGTCCTGGATCACCACAGTCCTTCTAGTTGGATACTAACTGTCCAACAGACCCTCCTGCATCGGCAAGGAACAACTCACAAAAACCCAGTGGGAAAAAAGTGAGAAACCTCGGGGAGACACACAGTTGAGAAATGGAATCCGCTCCTACACGGACAGACGGGCTAATCAACGTCAAAGTATCATCGGCCACAAAATTCAGCGACTCACTAAACTACCCTTTAATTTACAAACTCGCCCTTTTACATTGAGGGGCTCTCTGCTCTGGAAGATGAACATGAGACTCAGGTGTTGTTTTCTCAGCTCAAAGACACAAAGGATGTTGAACTGTTGATGAGCAAATAAAGATTGGTGTCACAATGATCTCTGGGTGTTTTAGAGAATAGCTTCAGCATAAAGAATACAAACACACGGAATGTAGTAAAATTATTAAAATTGTACTTATATTTAACAATAAATATTATGTAATATGTGTTTTATAATTTGCTTTTTATTTTCATTTTAATGTAATTAATTTTGAAATTAAAACATGGCAATGAGATCATCTGAAATAATATAATAATATCAACAATAAATATATGACACAAGTATTTAAGGTAAACAACTCCCGTAGCTCCCTGTGCCACCACCATTTATTTTTTATTTTTTTTTTTTTACAAATGTGAAAAACGTCATTTCGACTGACTTTTTTATGGGCAACACTTATGTTTTAGCCAGAAGGGGCGGAGTTACATGCTCCTGATATTAGGATCTAAAAATAACTCCTTTTAAATGATACGTCTTCTTTAAAAGACCACTACTACCTCTTGACAACTATCAACGCCAAGCTTTATTCCCACATGTCCAAATATTTCATTGACAGTGAATCCTGACCTCTAGAATCAATATGAGATTATCCTGTCACGTATCTGGCACCCCTTGCTCTCATTAACGCAGACCGTCCTCCACAGACCCCACCAATGCTGAGCCAAGCATCCTGGATGGCTTCGACCACAGGGAGGTGATGATAAATCACAGAGTGGAGCTGCCCTGCAAGGCCTCGGGTTTCCCCACGCCCAAGTACCGCTGGCTCAAAGACAACAGCCCCCTGGAGCCCGACATGCGCTTTCGACAGACCGTCTCTGGCCTCCTCATCGAGAACACGCAGCCCAGCGACGCAGGGACCTACGTGTGCGAGGTGTGGAACAGCTACGGGAACGCCGAGGTGCTGGGCCGGCTCTACGTCAAACGTGAGTATGATTAGTGTCAAAGTACACTATACCAAAATATGCTGTGTTATATACAGTATCTGTGACACACAGATGTGTTTATAATGTTTGTTTCAATGTGTATGTATACATATATATATATATGTATACATATATATGTTTATAAGTAATGGACCCCATGCTGTGGTGAAGGGCCTGCCTGACACACGCACGCACACGCACGCACACACACGCACACACACAAACCAGTGGGAGCCGTTGTCCCATCACTGATTTATGGAAGAGGGCTGCCATCTTTGCAGTTGGGTTTGTAGTTTTGACAACAATATAAGATCAGCGGTTTTAGGCCTAGTTCTGCATATTCTTAGGTTTTGCATGTCGCTGAAACTCCTCTGCTGTAAATAAATAATTTTTACTTATAGAGCTCTTTACAACTTAAGTGATTTACAATAAAATCACATAAGATCCATTCAAATATTTATGCATTCAAACAATAAAACAGTTAAAATCATTAAAAAAGTCTGCATCCTACTCTGACAGTCTGGCCAAAAGTGAATATTGATTCACTTTTTTGATTGAACTGAAGTCCCTCGCACATGTGATTTAGACACACATGTAGTGGACAACAGAAGAAGAAGAGCGTGTCAACATGTGGCTGTTGTGTCCCGCAGAGCCCCTGAAGGTGGTGGTGAGCCCCCGGAAGGTGAAGGGCAGCGTGGGGGGAAAGGTGTCTCTGTCGTGCAGCGTGAGTGGCTCAGACGAGTACGAACTGTCGTGGTACCGCAACGGAGAGATCATCTACCCCAGCAACAACGTGCGCTTCACCGGCCTCAACCGAGAGAACCTCATCATGGAGGGCATGTCCAAGAGCGACGGAGGGGCCTACCAGTGCTTCGCCCGCAAGGCCAAGATGTCGGCGCAGGACTTTGTGCAAGTCATTTTGGAAGGTACGTAGATGTTCAAAGGATTAGATAGATAGATAAAAGTGACCTAGATAATTGTAGTTTATTAATTCAAAAATAATCTATCAACGTCTTATTGGATATTTTTATAGTTTTATGTCTAGAACCTGTTTAAAGATACATACGCTGGTCCCTCGCTATATCGTAGTTCACCTTTTGCGGCCTCGCTTTTTTCAGATTATTGTGCAATTCTGCATGTTTTTTTATTTAGAGCGTGCTTCTCCTGCCACAAGTATCACACCATGACATACAGCCTCATATAACCTCATATAACTGTTGTTGTTTCGAGTTTAACTTTTGTTAAACTCGAAACAACAACTGTTTCAGAGCTGCTTAGGACTTGCAGCCATTTCCAGCGTATTCTAAAGTAAACTAGTAAAATAATGTGTATCGTCCCTCCAGACAAACAGACTGTTGTCCTTCCTCCTAGATGATAGCTGACAGACACACAAACATCTCTACTATGATGGTAGCGTTAAAACACATGCACACTGACTCCTGAGCCAATAGCTTACGTGGAGCAGCGTTACTCCGGCAACAGTCTCCTGAGGCCCCGGGCTGGAAAAAGCACATATTGATCATCTATAATCATGTGGAGCGGAGTGAGATTATCAGAGCTGCGGATGGAGGACATGGCTCTGTCTTTGTGTGTCTGGGAAGAGTCACCGTTCATTATGTCTTGCACAATACTGGCAAACACATCTCACATGTTTACATCGGCCTCTGATCAGCCGCGGACACAAACCACTTCCACATGCAGTATTTCTGATAACTGACGAGTCTTCATCTTCAAAACGTGTCCGGACGGACCATCCATCTGATCTACGTGTTTTTGTCACACCATGCATGATGATTCTGAAGCTGGACTCCCTCGCTGCTGTAGTAGCAGTAAGGAAAGCAAGTTTATTTGTGTGGCACAGTTCATACACAAGGCAGAGGCAACTCAAAGTGCTTCACAAAACAAGATAGAAACCATCATACAGAGAAATAACATCAGGAGTTATTACAGTGAATTAAAAAGAGTGACGATACAATCCTTCAGCACAGTTAAACTGTTTTAACCTGGATTTGAACATTGTCAGAGAAGAAGCCTGTCTCACATTTTCAGAAAACACTGAAACACTGTCTCCGGAAGATTTAGTTCTGACTCTGGGCTCCAGGAGGCCAGTCCCTGTGCTCCTCACAAATGTACTTTGGTCATGGAGACTTGCACACCAGCTGAGCAGCTTTAAAGTCTTAAATGTGGTCGTACTTCCTGGTTCTAGTCAGGACTCGATCTGCGCTTTGAAGATACTGCAGCTGTTTTACACCTTGTTGGAGGAACCAGTGATAATGTTTTATTATTTGAAGGCATGGAGAAAATTATGCAGTGGAAATATGTCATTAAAGATATAGGTTGCATTAATGTGACATCACAACATGGTGGAGGGCTTCTGAAAAATTGGCATCATGGACCACCAACTATGGTCAAAAGTCAGATTTTATTTAAGATATTCAGGGATTTCTCTAATCCTAGTTCTTATCAAGTATGGTTAAATGAATTTCTCTTAAAGAGAAGTGTTAAAACTGTTCAGAAACATTTGCATGATGTTGGCAGTAGACTTTCCTGACGCTCAATATTTTAACATTAACATTTCTTTCAAAAACAGCTTCTTTCTTAGAGTTGCCTTGGCCTCCAACTGAAATGAACACCTATAGGAGCCAGTCTAATGTCATGAGCTGATATTACCACAATGCCCTAACGCCCCTCTCCCCCTCCAGACGGGACCCCTAAGATCCTGGCGTCCTTCAGTGAGAAGGTGGTGAACCCCAACGAGGCCGTGTTCCTCATGTGTAAGGTGAAGGGCACGCCCCCGCCGCGCTGCAGCTGGAGCCTGGACGACGACCCGGTCATCAAGGACAGCCACCACCACCTGGGCCACTACGAGACCCACGAGGGCCACGTGCTGAGCCAGCTCAACGTGTCCCACACCCAGGTGACGGACGGGGGCGTGTACCGCTGCACCTGCGCCAACTCTGCCGGGGCCGCCTTCCACCAGGCTCGAATAAACGTAAGAGGTGCTTGTCAAATCAGCTCCTCCAAGAACAACATTACACATACATGTCTGTCTGTGTGAGTGAGACACGAGTGCCTGGGCTGCACGCTGATGTTTCATGTTGTAGTAGGACTTTAGGAATGTGTTCTCATTTAGGAACGTAGGAAAGCTGCAACTTCAAATACAAATATATACCTAGCTAACAGTAGATATTGGTGACTATAATGTATAATCCATATAGCTTTAGTCTAGTGTTTAGAGGCTTATCTATTCTCTTATAGCTGCATTCTTTTCTGAAAGCCCACGCAGCAGCAGAGGAGGCAAAAGTACAAGTACTAAAGTATGGATACTGCGCAACATTCTTTCTATAAAAGTAAAAGCATTATATTTACTTAATGATAAAATTATTATTAAGTACAAGCTTCCTATGAACTCAAATAAAGAGTAAATGTTGAATGATTAATGAACAATGTATTAGTTCATTTGTAAAAACCGAAAAGTGCCATTACAAAAGCCTTTCAAATTGCCTTTTACAAAGTAGTTTTAAAAAAAGCCTGATCTATGTTAATGCCATACAAAAAAAGTTCCAAATTCTTTCAAATATACTGCCAATAACAAAACATAACTGGAGAAACTTTTTGACAAATTCTCAAAACGGAAAAATTTATCATTTTTTTGCACTGATATTTGTAAAACTGAATAAAACTTAAATAATAATATAATAACAATCCTGTGCTGTTTTTCACCCACTTTTTTTTCTAAGTAAATATTATACTGTTGTAAAAAGGTTGTATAAGGATAGATAGTAGAAGCTTGGCTAACCATAACAAATATTTAACTTAGAAGCATGGATTACTACTGTACTTTGAATCGGTTTGTGTTGTTTTATCGCCATCTGCAAGAAACACGTCCTTTCATAATGTGACAGACAAAATAAGTAAAGTTGACACCAGGAAATGATAATGTATAGTATAAAACCATAGTACTTAAATGAAAGTACTTCCTCAGTTGGCACCTCTGTGGAGCAAACACACACGAAAAACCCACAAATAAAAACCGAGTGCAAACCCAGTCTGAACCAGGCTTTGATCCTAGAACTGTTTTTGGTTCTCAGATCAGTTTTTCTTAAAAGGCTTTAAATTGTACAACTATTTGCGTTTTCTTTTGGTGATTTTGGTCTAAATCCATCGTAGAACTTGGTACCAAAACACATAATTCTCTCTCCATAAGCTTCTAAAATGTGCCAAATTATACAGTTGATATAGAATGACACACAAAATTCCTCCTTTTTAACAGAATTATTTCAGAATCCTTCCTGACTGCTGCATGAAAGTGGGTCACGGACACGTTTATAGTTCCCGTGCTGTGGTTAGAGGCATTTACATACAGTGAACTACAAGTGCAGCAGTATTCACATTTCCCTTGTTCCAAAATGACTTGATAGAAATCTATGTCACGTTTATGTGTGTGGTGTTTGAATGTGTGTGTTTACTTTATCACTTCCAGATCAGATATACTACAGTAATGCACTTCTATTCCTCCAAAAAGACCAGCTTTGAATGCCGTGGGTAAAGTTATTAGACGCGTCCTACTGTACGCCTTTATTGGCTTTAAATATTGCGTTTTCCCTCAGATGGTTTAATCTACTTTGCATTTCACGCCTTCTCCTCTCAGCGCCGAGAAAAGCACAAAAGGATTAGCCCGCAAATCTCCCAGTCTTTTTAGTTACAGGTGCTTTCTGTAAGTTTATTCACACCATGTTTTGTGGCTCGCAACACATCCAAAAGCCAATGTACCAAGGTAATTTCTCCAATGCGTGTCTCCCTCTAGGCCGCGCAAGTATCCGCCCATTGAAAAACATTACAGCCATTGCAGGAAAAGACGCCTTCATCCACTGCCGCGTGATCGGGTATCCGTACTACTCCATCAAGTGGTACAAGAACTCAGCCCTGCTCCCGTTCAACCACCGGCAGAGGGCCTTCGAGAACAACGGCACACTCAAGCTGACCAACGTGCAGCAGGTGGACGCCGGAGAGTACAACTGCAAGGTCATGGTGCAGCCCAACAAGATGGACTCCCAGAGCGTGCACCTGAGGGTCAGAGGTGAGGCCTGTGTCTGAACCAGAGAGTCTAAGGGGGGCGGTTAGGCCTGAGAGTCAGAGGTGAGGCCTGTGTCTGAACCTGAGAGTCTAAAAAGGGGGCGGTTAGGCCTGAGAGTCAGAGGGTGAGGCCTGTGTCTGAACCTGAGAGTCTAAGAAGGGGGGGGTTAGACCTGAGGGTCAGAGGTGAGGATTAAGAGTCAGAGGTGAGACCTGAGAGTCAGAGGTGAGACCTGAGAGTCTGAGGTGAGACCTGAGAGTCTGTGGTGAGACCTGAGAGTCTGAGGTGAGACCTGAGAGTCAGAGGTGAGACCTGAGAGTCAGAGGTGAGACCTGAGAGTCTGTGGTGAAGCCTGAGAGTCTGAGGTGAGACCTGAGAGTCTGTGGTGAAGCCTGAGAGTCTGAGGCGAGACCTGAGAGTCTGTGGGGAGGCCTGAGAGTCTGTGGGGAGGCCTGAGAGTCTGAGGTGAGACCTGAGAGTCTGAGGTGAGACCTGAGAGTCTGAGGTGAGACCTGAGAGTCTGAGGTGAGACCTGAGAGTCTGAGGTGAGACCTGAGAGTCTGAGGTGAGACCTGAGAGTCAGAGCTGAGACCTGAGAGTCAGAGCTGAGACCTGAGAGTCAGAGCTGAGACCTGAGAGTCTGAGGTGAGACCTGAGAGTCAGAGCTAAGACCTGAGAGTCTGAGGTGAGACCTGAGAGTCAGAGCTGAGACCTGAGAGTCTGAGGTGAGACGACATCTTTATCTACAGTATTTGTTGCTAATATTAGCTGTGAAATGTAATTATTGTTTGTAAGCTGTGGTTCTTTGTGAATTGCGTGGAAACTCTGATTAGCGTTGCATTTTACTGCATTGAAAAAGCCATATTTGGGAATAGTCTTCATCCCGATCTTTACACAAACTAAAGAATTGTTTTTTTGTTGTAGAAAAGATTTCAAAGGTAGTTATTTGGACAATCTGGAAAGAGTCAGACAAGAATGTTTGTTATGCTAAATGTGGAGCTATACAGGAAGGAGGGTCAGTCTGCATAAATCTTTTGTAAACGCCTTTTTCACAAATAGTAGGAATATGCATAGTGCTGTTTGTGGATGTATGTACCGTGTATTTGCAATATGACTTTTATATAATAAAAAGTCTGATAGTGGCTGATGAGAACCATGAGGAACCACAGTTTACCTGGTCAAAAACAATATATCTTGATCAATTTTACCTATATGTTTGTGATATAGCAGGGTAATAAACCTTGTCACGGGCTTTTCCTGTTAAAAAATACCGAGTGAAAAAGCAGGAGCCCGCACCCTGCTCCTGAGTGTGAGCTACATCTGAGAGCAGCACATTAGGAGCAGCATGCCTCAGCACATCACGCCTCACGGTGACGTCTTCTGCACATGCTGCCCTGACTAATATCCTGGGAGACCGTGAGGAGAAACACCAGCAGGTCCCCGTTCCCCTGCCCCTCCCCTGCCTCCGCACAGGCCTTCAGAGACCCGTACTGTACATCCAGAGTGCAATGATAGCGCCTCCTCCCAGCGGTGCCGTAGCAGAGCGAGCCAGTGCATTTGTTAATTTACTCGGCTTGTGCTTAAAATGCGGAAGTGTCTTTGGGGATCCCCGCAGTCCATTATCTCCACTTTGGTGCGAATTAAATAAGCTGCTATAGTGCTGCTTATTTCACTGTTATTTGAACTGGCCGGACGCTCAGGAGCAGATGACTGGTGCGAGGCTGGAGACTGAAGCGTGGTGTTAGCTATGTGTACGAATAGGATACTATAGGCTGCGGTCATGTGACATCACCATGTTCCAAAGAGATTCAAATTGTGATGGAAGACAGTTCAAAAGTTTATTCTGGTAACTATAGTGACTGTCAAAAGTCAGACTTCGGTGCTCATTTCTCTGTCATAATATTAATAACAAAATATAATGCATTGGTTTTATACAGCCCTTTTCGTGGACACTGGAGGACGCTTCACATGGCGGCATTAGTTTACTCCATAATTAAACTACTACTGTAGCCACAGCTGCCTCGGGCCACACTAGCAGAAGCGAGGCATCCAGTTTGTGAATTTGGCCCCTCCATCCACCACCAACCGATCATGCACATAACAGAATCATTCTTGACAATGTCGTAAGTGGTCTTACGGGATCTGGCTTTCACCTGCCAGTATAGATGCAATTTTTGGGCCAATCAACATGAAACAGGAACAAAAGTGTATCACAATATCTAAAAACACACACACACAAAGCAGATAGTGAGCAAATAAAAAAGACTTTCAGACATTAGCCAAATACAGAGAGTTTCACTGACAAATCACTGAAAAGAAAATACTGCTTTCCCATAGAGTTTTATTAGCACTTTTCCAACAACTGAAACTGAAAATGAAAACACCCTATTAGATATCAGTGTGAGAATGATCCCAAATTGTGGCTGAATGGTTACAGTACGGTTGCATTGGATTGAGTTGTGGAGGACTCTGGATGGAAGTGGAGACTCTGGAGCATTCCTTCAAGCTCCCACAAGTGACTTCAGTGTTGACAGGCACAGTAGTCAAGCACTCATTTCATTCAGCAAAGTCATTATCCTGCTGAAACATGTATTCTATTACAGTAATGTCCTCCGTGGCGTGGATCCAGCCGGGCACTCCTGACAGAGGGTCCTAACTGGACAATAAAGTTTGCTGTCAACTGTTCTTTGTCTTGTAGTCAGGCACAAGTCAGAATGAAAAATACTGTATCAAAATAATCATAATAATGAGTTTCTATATGTGACATGGACAATTATTCACATTGTATAAGGACCTTCAGATCTAAAACATTGTTCCATTCAATTCGCATAACTGACTACAAAGGGTTTTTGTGGTTTTTGATTTGATTTGCTTTAAAATTAGGTATAACTTGCCATGGTAGCATAACAGCAGGAGGGGAGGGGTTAAGACCAATATATATCCCAATCACATGTCTATAACCAGCCCAAACCAAGTCTATTTCTAAGCATAGACTGTACATAGATGTGCACTCAATGAAGCCAAACAGGGAAGTGCTCATGGACGAAGTTTTGCTCCTACCTGCTGTAACCCTAACCCTATTTAATTACGATGACAAGCAAACTCCTCTAGCAACCGTTGCCATTTTGGACTTAAAGAAATATCTGGATTATCCCGGTGTTTTGATTATGATATTCTCTTTGTAAATCCAGATATGAGCCATAAAAGAATGGATCAATCAGACGTCGTAATTCACGGGGGAAATTCCAGCCCGATTTAGCAACCCTCTTAGCAACATGTCTGCCCCTGTTACGTCGGAACAAATGCCCATATAAGGAAATGATCTCCAGCTAGCGTCGTACAAATCCATTTCTTCCACATTCATTAAACTCTATGGTGATACAGTCAAAGCAGTGACTTATTGAGTTTTGCTGCATTAACGGTCTCCTCAAAACAGCTGATATCATTGTAATACTTGGGAGTTGGGCGTAAAACTAGGAAAAACGCAAGTGACTTTTTAAGCCTTTTCTCTTTCACTGATAGAGCTTCAAGTAGCAGTAGCCTTCTTACCTTCCTCCTGACCTCTTTTCAGCATTAGACCAGGATTAGTGTAAAAACGCCGCGATTGGGAGAATTACCTCGTTCGTGCGACTGCCGGCTCGCTCCTCACGCCTTATCTCTGCGCTCCGCTCCGCAGTGCCGCCGTTCATCCAGCCCTTCGAGTTCCAGCGGTTCACCATCGGCCAGCGGGTCTTCATCCCGTGCGTGGTCATGTCCGGCGACCGGCCCCTGGACATCACGTGGCAGAAGGACGGCCGGCCCATCCCGCTCAGTCTGGACGTAACCGTGGACAACATCGACTTCACCAGCTCCCTGCGCATCAACAACCTGACCCCCGACCACAACGGCAACTACACCTGCATCGCACGCAACGAGGCGGCGGTCGTGGAGCACCAGAGCCAGCTCATCGTGAGAGGTGAGGGCCGCACCATTCGTCCGGTCAAAAACTAAATGTTTGTGGTCGTGTTTAGCAAAGACTGCAATTATTTCGGTTCTTTGCAAACAAAACAGGGAGTAAAGTTTAAGTAAAATGGCCCTGATCTTTCAAAAGGCATCAATAAAGCATGGTGTTTTCTAATAATTATTTAATAACAGTAGTTCAGAGATATTCCAATTTCAAAATTAGTGATTAATCTTGTTATTATGTCCCACTCTCCACCGTTTCACCAATCAGAAAGTAGGTGATCCGGGCGCCAGAACTCCCAGCAAGTGCTAATCACTGGTAAAGTGCCATGTGGCCAAAGAACTAAAAAAAAGTCTTGTTATGATTTTCAAATAATTAATAACAAAACCAGGATTTTTATCGGGGCCTTTGTTAAAAAGGTGTTGGTTTTAGATTTTCTGTTGACAAAACTCTTTCTTACATACTGCTCCTTTAAAGTTATATAGGAGGATTTTCTACTTCCGGGTGGATCATCAAGACTCTCATTTCTCCCAATTATCAATCATTCTGGTGATACGTGTTCATCAAATAAGACCAGAGAGTTTTGTTCACAAAGTGGAGAGAGCGGTTCTTTCCTAAAATGTGTGAAAATCCTCCTATATATATAGTGGCAATGGATGATGGGTCAAATGCAGAGGACCCATTTCTCTACAGGGACAAGGAGACTCCAGTATAACGTATCTGTCTCAATTTTGATACTCTCTGATGCTCTTTTTCGACAATAAATTCTATTCTTTAGCTTAAAAAAGAAAGGCTTGTTATAAGGCCATAAGGTTTTAAATATATTGTTTAAAATATATCAAGAAAAACCGACACACATCACATTTTCTCCTGTTTTTATAATATTTTTCAACTTAGTACTTGGATACATTTGATAACGCAAGTTGCCGGGCTAGAGAAGTATTTCCTCATTCCATAAAAGCCATTTCATCTTTTTCATGTATACAAACTGTCAAAATGTCTTTCACAACTCAGGTCTAACTGTCAGAATTGAGTATGAGGAAATCGCTTCAAATGTGAGTCTCTTGAAGCTCTTTTTTTAGCTGTGAACAAAATTAGACGTTTTAACCGTACCGACTGGTTGGTCAGAAATATCCCAATTAGACATTTTGCCAAAATTGTGCAGCCGTAGATTTACAACAGGCTTAAAGTGGAAATGATGTGGAAAAACCGGTGTCTGGGGTTTTTGTGCAGTCCCTCCTCAGTTTGTGGTGCAGCCTGAAGATCAAGACGGAATCTACGGGAAAACGGTGACTCTCAACTGCTCCGCGGAAGGATACCCCCCGCCCACCATCGTCTGGGAGCATTCTAAAGGTACAGGACGCGAGAATTCGTTTTGTGTCGGTGCATGTCAGTGTTGCATCACCAGTTACAGAACAGTAGGAATGAGGAGCACACAATAACTCTATGCTAAATAATATAGAATAAAACATCTCTAGCACTTTTGCTTCTCAGTCAGAAGGTCCTGGGTTTGAATTCCGGTCGGAACAGGGCCTTTCTGAGTGGACTTGACATGTTCTGCCCGTGTCTGCATAGGTTTCCTCCAGGTGCTCCGGTTTCCACTACCACTAAAAACATGTACAATCGATATGAATGTAAGGAGTGAGTGATTGGATGGTGTTGGGTCAGAGGCTTTGATGGTCCAGTGTGGTCAGAGTCTCGCTTCCGTCATCACCGTGCGGAGAGAATTGAGCAATATCTGAACTCTGGACATTGTAAAGCGCTTTGGGTGATTTTGGTCTATAAAATGTGCTATATAAATAAACATTGCTTACTTACTTACTATATTAACTCTATAGCTTCAGCACAAATAGTACAAAACTCTGACTTTAGCATAATAAAGAAGTATAAAATCTCTACCTTGGGCCTAATAAGAAGCAGGTATATACTGTAAGTATTCTCATGTAAGAAATAAGTAGTAAAATGTTAGTATTTAGTATATAAAGTCCCATATCATATTCCATATCAACCTGATAGATTCATGTTATCAACCCAACTGTAAGCTAGAGGCTGCCGAGTTAGCCCTAGCCACACCACGACAAAACATAGTCTCCAATGATGCCAATAGCCCGTAGCAGATAGTAAAGTTATCTGGTTGGCAAGTAAAGACTAATTGATTAAAAATGGCTGAGGATATAGGTTTCTTTATATCCCCACATCCAAATACTACCTCCAAAAGATCTAAAACGACCAGCTTTATTATAAAGACGAGCAAAGCAAACCGAGTGAGAGGCTGAGGAGACGAGAGGAAGCCGGTGAGTCCACGCAGCCACTCGAACAGGCCCCATAAAGACAAGGCCCCAGGTGTGCGCTCCCCCAACCAGAAAACAGGGATGAAAGCTTCACCAGGACCAGGCCAGTGACCAATGAGCTGGGCTGCCTGTGTGTGTGTGTGTGTGTGTGTGTGTGTGTGTGTGTGTGTGTGTGTGTGTGTGTGTGTGTGTGTGTGTGTGTGTGTGTGTGTGTGTGTGTGTGTGTGTGTGTGTGTGTGTGTGTGTGTGTGTGTGTGTGTGTGTGTGTGTGTGTGTGTGTGTGTGTGTGTGTGTGTGTGTGTGTGTGTGTGTGTGTGTGTGTGTGTGGGAGAGAGGGTGCTGTGTTTGCCTGCAGATCAAAGGAAGAACAGAATCAGATGTGTTTTTGAGCCTTTGATGGGATTTGTGCACACGCAGATGGAGCGCAGGGCAGGCAGGCTATTTACTATATGACCAATACCCCAGGGTTCATATTAGTGGCAGTGGAGAGCATGTGTGCTTATAGGCAGGAGCAGGGGTCTGTATGCACACTGAGGTGGACGGACAGATACAGGTTTTGTTTAAAGACTATTGTCCAAAACATTCAGAGTATGCAGTTCATCCAATCCACTGTATTTGCTCCTTACATTTCCATGAAACCTCAAAGTAGAAATGAAAATAACAGGCAGATAATAAAAAGTCTCCCGGGTTTAGGAAGACCAGAGAGAGGGCCCTGTCTCCCAGGTTTGAATTCTGGTTGTAGGCACCATTAGCTGGAGCTGGAGCTGGAGCTGGCCCTCGGGCCTCCGCGCTCGAAGCAGTGGTCCATTTGGATGTGGTCCGAGATTGTTATTGTGCGGCCATTTCACTCAAAGCTTTAAAGAGAAGCAATAAAAATCTAAGTTCAATTCCAAAAGGAACGAAAAGCACGTGCAAAGACACAAGGGTTTCTGGACAATCTGTAAGTGTGAATGTGTATAGGCAAGATTGGCCTTTCATGTTTATTGTAAAAACAAAGACCATTTCCGGATTGTTTTCTCTGCTCTGGTTCAGAGTCAAATTCTGAGTGTTTATTAGCATTTTTCAACAACAAAAATTCCTCCTGTGGATTTACGCTTGATCTGCTTGGTTCAGACCACAAAAAACAACAATTCAAACTGCTGAGGACTTGCAGCCGTTTCCAGCGCATTAAAAATATGTATCTAGATGAAGGTCATATTAGCAAAACCCAATGTAGGGTCTGTTAAAAGACTGGGCTAATTTGAGTGGACACATGGAAAGCCGAGCAAAGCAGAGGTGCTTCTTTTTAAAGAGATGAGTAATGAAAAGCGGACGGTGTGGGGCCAGGGCGGGTGTCATGGGACGCCATTGTCTAATGTGCTGTAAGCCGCGCTGCAGTTTGTCCACAGAATGGCTGCCTTTAGCTATTACTGCAGCCATGCTATAGCTCTGAGCCAGATGAGTGTCTCCACGAGATATGGAGCAGTAAGTAAAGGTCAACTGCTATTAGCATAACGACTAGCACTATTTGGATATGCAGAATCTATAATTCACGGCAAAGCACTGCTCACTGGGCTGGGCTTCCCTCTCCCTCTCCCGCCTCACAGGACCAGGGGACCCAGAACAAAGTCACCACTTGACCCTTTGCCTGCCTTGGTCACTTGACTGCATTTTAATTAAGGAATAAACCCACAGCTCTAAATGTACTAATCTCTACATGCTAGCACTATCACAGCTCTAAAGTGATGTGTGCCACTGTGCATACATGTGTTTAATAGTAAATAAGCAGATCAGAATACACTGCTGTGAGTCTGAATGTGCGCTTACAAACGCAATGCAACACTAAAAATACCTTTTGATACTAACTTTCTTAAATATATGTTCAACCTCCTCTCGCACTTATTTATATTGTCCCATCATTTACATAAGTGTCACATGAAGAGAATACAATTTTGAATGAGAAAAGAAAGTTAGTACTAAAATGTGTAGTAATATTAAACTTGGGAATACCCTTTACAGCTGCGTACTACAACCTGGCAACCATGGCTAAAATATTTGCATGGATTTGGGGACCAATCACAGAACAGGGGCAAGGTATGAGGATGACGCACAATTAGACAGACTGAAGCTTGTAGTTTATGGACCCAACATGACGGCAGCAAACGTAAAGCTTTCTTTTGTCAAAATTTTAGACTGTTTTCTCATCGTCTTCTTTCTGTTTGTCTCGTCATGTTTCTGTCGTGTAACGAGCGTTATTGGGTAGAATTGATACGTTTGGTGCGTATTGTAGACATTTGTTTTGGCCTTTAAACGGCTGTGGACAATCCTAAACCACACCTCTCAGTTCCCAGGTTAAATATTCTGATGAAAGTCACACAAAACTTTTTCCGAGGGAGGAGTCAAAGTGCAGGAATGCCAAAAATAATGGTTAAATAATGATAATAATAAAACAAAAGTCCAGGTGATAAACCAACTCCAGCAACAAGGGGAGGTACACATAGACACAGAGAGACACAGGTGAAACACATCAGGGCGGGGCAGACAATCAAGACAGGGGAAACAGGACAGGGAATAAAACTACAACCAAACCATCTGAGAACTGATATAAAAATAAAACCAAAGATTAAGAATAAGATTAAGAGATCCTGCTCACAGTGGGGAAATTTCAGGGTTGCATCACAAGTTATAGAACAGTAGGAAAGAGCAGCACACAGCACAAGATAAGTGAACAATAGCTGTACTAATTAAGATAAAACAAAATCTCTAACTCAAGCATCTAATAACAAGTATAACATCTCTATCTTGAAAATAATGATAAAAAAGAAGTATAAAAGTTTTGCATTTGGCAAAATAAGTATAAAGTACTGTGTATTCTAGTGCAAGCAATGTGTGGTTATATGTTTACATCTGTACATTAGCAAAAATAAAATAACAAGTACAATTTAGTACAAAATAAAACAAATCCACACCATGACAGGATTAATCATCAACTCTCAGTTTAGAATTATTTTAGTGATTTATCCATCCATCCATTTTCTTCCCCTTAATCCATTTCTGGGTCTGGGGGGGGGGGGGTTGGGGGGTGGCAGTCAGAGCTGCACCCAGTCCACAGAGCACCAGCCCCTCACTGATCCTCCTGCAGGTGCTGAGTCCACAGGAGTTGAGATCTTTCAGTGGGGGCTTTGGGCAAAGTAGGGTTAAGTGTCTTGCCCAAGAACACAACGACAGCAGTCATCAGTGGGAGTCGTGAAGTAGGTCTTACGGTGGGCTCGAACCCACGACCTTCAGGCCCAAAGGCCAATGCTCTATCAACTGAGCTACTGTTTAGTGATTTAAACGTTTACAATTGTTAAAACTAATCCTGACATGTGTGTATCTGCTGATGACACCGATCAGCAGTGCTAATACTGATGAGATGTTTCTTTCTTCTTCCTTATTAACACACTCAAGAGATTTATTTCTATGTAGATCAAGGATTCCTTGGTCTGAGCTATAATGCTGTAATATGTTGTTTTTACTATGGTATAATGACTGATGTTTATTCATTTGATGCTGAATTCTTTCTTAATGAAGCAAAGGCGTGTGATCTTGGCCTCAGTCCAAGGCCACGTGTGTCCAAGGCCCTCGCTGTAGTGTGTGCTCGGGCTGTGTCTGTGTTCAACATGAGTATTATGTCTGTTCTGATTGCATCACATCCTCGCCTCACACTCCTGCAGCTGTTTACTGGCCCTGGGATTTAGGCCTGGTGTGGAGAAACATGTTTTCAATTCTGTCCTAATCTGACAGGCTTTGTCATCAAATCTGTAAACATGCGTCGGCGATCACACATGCAGAGTCTGAAGGTCAGCAGTATGTTCCAGAGCATATGCCATGTGGGCAAAAGAGCTAGCCCAATATTAGACAATAGCCTCGCTTCTTTCTGATTTCACAAGACTTTCACACTCATCTGGCATCATTCATTAAAGGGCCCTAATCTGTCAAAAGGCCTTATTTACTATGCTCTTTTCCAATACTTCTTTAACTGATTCACTGATATGGGAATTTCAAAATTGGATTTACAGCCCCTAAATCTTGTTGTTTTCATTTCGATGTCCTGCCTTTCACTGTTTTATCAGCCAGAAAGTCTGTGATCCCACTGGTTCACAACATTGAAATCTTTAATGACAAAAAAAAAAGATTAAAACGAGGATTTCTATCTTTGTGAAAAATGTGTTAGTTATAGATTTGTTGTTGACAAAACTCTTGTCTATTCAGATATACAATAATGGTCCCAGCTGGATTAATCTGCATATCTGGCAACCTGAGTCAGGGACAGTGGGAGAGCTTGCAGTGCCACTTTTGGCCAGTTTTTTACATATCTGGTGGGTGAGTGGGTAGCACTCTCACCGCTCAGCAAGAAGGTCCTGGGTTCGAATCCCAGTTGGAACAGGGTCTTTCTGAGTGGTTTGCATGTTCCCCCCGTGCTTGCGTAGGTTTCCTCCAGGTACTTCGGTTTCCCCTACCACTAAAATCATGCACACTAGGTTAAATTCCTCCAGCTCTGGTCCTGACCAAGCCAAGCATTAACATCTGGAGATGGGTTATCGGGCACTGTTACTACGGCGACCACTGCTCCTGACGTAAGCCTTAGTGGCATCAGGATGGGTCAAATGCAGAGGATAAATTGCCTTAAGGGGATCAATAAAGTGCACCTTTACCTTTATAAGTTTAGAGTACTTAACTTTCAAACCATAAAAAATGGAAGCTAGTGGAAAATAAAGTTCTTCTACAAGTACTCTCCTAGCTCTTTGGTTCTATCGCTATAGTTTCACCTATTTTGTTTTGCCTCAGTCACTTCGGAGGCAAAAAATTCAGATCAGCGGGTCAGCTTATTCAGACAGAAAAGTGAAAAGGAGAGGACCACTTTCACTCAGCTCCGGCCCAAATAGTCAAATAGGGACATACATTTATATTGTACGAAAAGTGTAAAACTAAAATGTTTGCTTTGGGAGTTCTAGTAGTTGCAGAAATCCGTGCAGTCCTAGTGTTAAAGGGCAACACACTTCTTCTGATCAGGGTCTGGAGAGGAGTTTATAACCTCATTATCATCTGAAGATAGACAATATCATATAGTTTGACAATTTCCCTTTAATAGTTTCCTCAGCCATTTTGAGGATCACTTTTTGAGTCACTTCTTCTGCTTATTGTGGCTTCTCTATCACTTGGTTTTAGACACTTACCATCAAAGAAAGAGAAAGAGAAAGTGTTGCATTATCATTCGTAATCTCCAAGCCCCAGTGTGTGACGAATGCGGTGTTATTCTTCCCGGTTGTGCTTATGCGTGGTGTTTTTGGCAGGTGCGGGGGTCCCTCAGTTCTTTCCCATTCCCCTGAACTCTGGCTCCCGGATCCAGCTGCTGAGTAACGGCTCCCTGCTGATCAAACACGTGCTGGAGGACGACAGCGGCTTCTACCTGTGTAAGGTCAGCAACGACGTGGGAGCCGACGTCAGCAAGTCCATGTACCTGACCGTCAAGAGTGAGTACCGCCACGCTAACACTAGACCTCCCCGAGCAGTCAATTTGACGACTTTTTTGTTTTGAGAGTGTTATTACTCTGCTTATGTACGTTTTTGGTCTTGATACCTCTGTGAATTTTCTTATGTTTATGATCCTCGACTGCACCTTGACTAGATTTACACTGGTCCTGGACTGGATCAGAGCAATCTCAGCTTTGATAAGATAAGATAAGAGATGCTTTATTCGTGCCACAGTGGGGAAATGTCAATGTTGCAGTGCACATGTACAGGACAGTAGTAAGGGCTCACAGGGAGCACACAAAATACACACAATAAGTAGCTTCTATTTTTTTTCTTGAGCAAATGCTAGTTACCATAGCAACATGCTGTTTACTTGCTTCAGTTAGCATTTCATTTTTCTATGTTTCATTAATGCTAATCAGTTTTAGCATGTGTTTAAGATAAAAACCTTAAACTGTAGAATGCAATGAATGGTAATACTGGCAGTGCTAGTGTTAAAGACGGGAGAAGTCTGCAAATATCCGTCTTTAATGAAATATGCTAAATCCACTTTTTAGACGCTTTTTGAACTATGAATGATTACACTGCCGGGTTTTAATTAAGAGACAGATTTATTTGGATTTATGTATTTATTTTAGCGTCTGTTATAACACATGCAAGACATTCAAATCACAGAAATTTAACGTTGTACTTTTGACAATGGGAGCGGCCACAGCCCTTTATTCATGGAAAACATTGATACCACATGAGCACGTAATGGAGGAATAGGTTTGGGGGTAGTAATGGGAGAGTTTATCACAGGCGTTCCTGCAGTGTCAGGCCTCTCCTGGGCAGCAGCAGCCCCTGTCTCTCCATACATCACAGTGCTGAGTGCGACTGTATGGCCGGCCCTAGTTGCTATGCAGCGAGTTGACCTATGGCAGCACAAACATCCAGCCTCCATTTTACACAAAGCACACAACAGAGAGGAGACATATTCTTCACACAGCCCCCTTTGCAGTCACACACAGCAAGACATCACAAGAAACACAATGGAAATACACCAACTTTTAGGTCATTGTGTGTACTGTACTGATGCCCATTCTACTACTACTACTACTACTACTACTACTTCTACTAGTGCTACTACTACTGCTGCTACTGGTACTAACAGCTACTACTGCCACTAAATACTGCTCATGATGATGATACTATACTGCTGTAAGTTCTACTACTGCTGCTATTACTACTACTACTAATACTACTATAGGTGCAAATACTGCTTAAATTGCTGGTGCTATTGGTACTACTACTACTACTACTACTACTGCTGCTGCTGGTGGTGTTATTCACAACACTTCTCTGATATTAATCCCCTATAAAGGTAAAAGCAAAGTCAAGATATATTTTGTCTCTCCTCTCGGTGCCGTTGGAGCCCTGACTTGTGACTGTTGCAGTGAACTTGGTGTAACTGGACTGTGTAAATGCATAAACACGTAAGCTGTAGTTATAGTATGTGTAACGTACTCTTCACACTCCTCTCTGTGATATACTGAGCTCCATCTGACTATAGTCAAATTTGTATGTTAGTGTACATTTATCTTTAATTTGGAATAACATGATTACACAGAACTGTTTATTTATCACTGAGTCTATGGACACTGTTTCCCACGTCCAGAGGTGAACTCAGCTGTAGTCGGCGTAAGAATTATGATTAACACTTAACATTTTTAACTTTAGTGTGTCGATAAGACAATCAGGAAATGGATGGAAAACGCCAAATTTAAAAAAACAATACTACACATTATTTTTGTCTATTAATAATACGACTATTTACTTTTTCCTTTCATATTTTAAGTAACAAATTCAACAAAAAAATGCGTTCCATCTGTTATACCCTATTCTGCCACTAGAGGGAGGGGTAGAATTTGTTTTTTTTGTTTTTTCAAATTGTAATATTACTAGCCGCTAACACAGCCATGTGATTGTAAAGAACGTCGTTTCACCTCACAAAGTGCCAACACTAATGAATGGGGATTTGTTTTGTTCTAAAAGGCAGGTGATGTCATAGTGGTTAAACGACATCATACTATCACAGGACTGAGACAGAGGCTTTTAGACAGAAGGGGCGGAGCAACATGTCTCATTTAAATAAAACTCTATAATGCGAGCACCGATCTCACCAAGAGATGTTACAAACTCTTTTTTTAGCTCATTAATCCACGTTGTGTGCTGTCAAATCACATCCATAACATCGTGTTAGCCTTCACGAGTCCTGCCGTGTTTTCTTTTGTTCTGTCTCGAGTAGACGCTGCTGCTGACATCAATTAAGTGCCTTTATTTTGAAAACATGAAATGCCAAAGCTAAAGATACTCAAGATTGTATTTTCCAAGGGGTCTCCAACATGGTATTTTGTGGCCTCCTTATGGACATCAAAGTGTAATGATAGAGTGGCCCCCAGTCTGGCTAAGAGTCTGGGCTAAGAGTCTGGGCTAAGAGTCTGGGCTAAGAGTCTGGGCTAAGAGTCTGGGCTAAGAGTCTGGGCTAAGAGTCTGGGCTAAGAGTCTGGGCTAAGAGTCTGGGCTAAGAGTCTGGACTAAGAGGACACGTTATTTGTCATTTTAAAGTCAATTTCCTACAAAAATAACCAACGCATTTATATTATCAAAGACATTAAGCCATGAACGTAAACAAGTGATCAGTCCATGTAAACCTCATTCAGCCCTGCAGTCTACAAGAATGAGCCTGAGTGAGTGGTTAGCCCTCTCGCTTCTCAGCAAGAAGGTCCTGGGTTCAAATCCCAGTCAGAACAGGGTCTTTCTGAGTCAAGTTTTCATGTTCACCCCGTGTCTGCGTAGGTTTCCTCCGGGTGCTCCGGTTTACCCTACCACTAAAAACATGCACAATAGATAAAATCCTTCAGTTTCGGTCCTGACCAAGCTGAGACTCAACAACTGGAGATGGGTTCACGGGGCGCTGTTACTACGGCGACCACTGCACCAAGTGGCATCAGGATGGGTCAAATGCAGAGGACACATTTTCCTAGGGGACAATAAAGTGCATTGCCATTTTTTTATTTATTTACACAAACTTTCCCTAAAAGCTTGATTCCTGTTTTCATCCGTCTGTTGAACAAGTATAAATGTTCATTCTACTGTTATGATTAAATAATCTTCATCGCACTCTCGTTTCTCGGCAAGAAGGTCCTGGGTCTGAATCCCAGTGGAACAGGGTCTATCTGGGTCTGAGTGGATTTTGCACATTCTCCCTGTGCCTGCGTAGGTTTCCTCCAGGTGCTCCACTAAAAACATGTACAATAGTTCTGGCCTCCTGTACTGGCAAACTCCCATCTCTGTGTGTGTGAGTGACAAAGGCGCTATATAGATAAAGATTACTTACTTTGGACACTGGCTAAATTGAGTTTGAGACTCCTGATTTTAGGATAGAAATGACACACAAAATATGAATAAAAAATATAAAATCCATCAAATGAGTCCTGTAAGCCTCAGCCGTCAAATCGTCTGAGTGAGCGTCCCCTGGTGTCACCTCTCAACCGAGTTTGCACATATTCAGGTCGACATACCTCAATATGTGCATGCATGGCTCTAACGTCCTCAGTCAGAGGGAGCAGGTCCGGAGTGTTCCACTTGGCTTGCCGGAGGGTCTGTAGGGCAGCAGAAGAAACACAGACGTCCCACCTCTTCTCAAAAAGCAGCCGGCTTCGTTGGAGGTTTTTAATAAATAGTTTATCAACACAATGCTCCATTTTTGAGTCACATTCAAGAATATCTGCTAGCTTTCTGAGGCTATGGCCGAGTTTGAGGGCCAAGGATGGAGTCTTGTATTGATTTGTTTCCTCATCATATCCAGCCACAGACCTGACTGCATCAATCACATGGTTAAAGTTGGAAGGAATAAAGAAATCCTTAATTGTTTTCAGTTTCCCTGCGGTTTTTGCTTCGTTAATTAACCTACCGACTTCTCTCATTTTCTGCCTAATGTAATCATGCTTAGTCTTATCATGCCCGTGTTTTAAGTACAGGTGCTCTCCGAGTCTCAGAATCCCCTTTTCTGCTTTGACAACACCCGTGACCTCATCCTGATGCATTGCCGAAATTAAAGACCACAGCTTTTTGCTGATGCCCTCCGGTATAGGCTGGGCTAGGGAGCAGAGGGACTGGACCCTACTTCTACCTGGTTTAGCCTGGTTTAGCCTGGGCATCTTTCTGTGAAAGCCGGCACCTGGCCACATGCCTCCACAGCGACTTTCGCTTAAGCAATGCCCCACAGTCTATACAGTGCAAAAACTCACTGGATTTAACTGGGCAATTTGGCTGTTTAGCTGGGACTAAAGTTCCAATGCCTTTAAAACCTCAAAATTGTGCTCACGGTTTCCACTATTCCTGATCAAATCAAACTGAAGTTTACGTGCTTTAGATTTCACAGGTAGAGCCAATGCTCTGGCTACGTCACTTTCATTTCCATGTTTTCTAGTCAAATGACGGGACATTTTGTGGCAGGACATTGAACAGTAGAGGCAGAAGTGTCTCTTGCTGTAAACTCGCCCCCAATTTTTCTTCTTTTGCAGCTGCATGATAACAATCTTATTTGCCTTTGGTTCGTCACTTTCCGAGTCTTGAAGAAAAGTGTTTTTGATTTTTCTTTTTCCATACTTTTTTACAGGTTTCTTCTTGACAGTTAAATCGTCAGAATCTGAGTCGACTTCATCAATTAGGGACTCTTGACTAAGCTGCACAAACAACAAATAATTTGTAATCATTCTATATAACAATTTGAAGTCATGACTTGTAGTCAGCACTTACCAGTGGTTTGTAAGCGTGCGCTTCAGTGTGCTCCTCCATGATTTCTTGCAGCCTAATGAACCACACACTTGCACCTTTTCTAGCCTGACACCTGATTTCCTCTGTTGTGCTGCTCCATGATTGGCTCCAGCCTGCTGGACTGAAATTGCCCCAGTGTGCCCCTCCTTGATATCCCGCAACCCACCACCAGGGTTCC